CTAGAACTTGTACTGGTGGTACAGCAAAATGAAAATTCTTGGACCGAAACAGAAAATTCAGGATGCATTTGGCCAAAAACTGAAATGGACAGTTTGTTAAAAAAAAAAATATTTGTTTTATATATAATTGTAATATATTCGACTTTTTAATTAATATCATGACTTTAAATGAATATGAATTTATTTTCATCTCCTTTTGGCCAATAGGCTGCTTTCATACTGAGCAGTTTTTGCAGCTCAGTGTGAAAGATCTGAGAACTGGAGGGGTGCAGGGGAGATCTGAGAACTGGAGGGGGGAGATGACCTGAGTACTGGGGGGGGAGGTGGGTAGGAGAGGAGATCAGAGCACGGACATCTGAGTACTGGGGTGGGAGGAGATCTGAGTACTGGGGAGGGGGGGGGCCAGGTACTGGGGGGAGGAGATCTGAGTACTGGGGAGGGGGGGGCCAGGTACTGGGGGGGAGGAGATCTGAGTGGGGGGTAAGAGATCTGAGTACTGGGGGGGGGGGGGGAGATCTGAGTACGGGGGGGGGGGGAAGAGATCTGAGTACTGGGGGGGGGGGGGAAGAGATCTGAGTACTGGGGGGGGGAAGAGATCTGAGTACTGGGGGGGGGGGGGGAAGAGATCTGAGTACTGGGGGGGGGGGAAGAGATCGGAGTACTGGGGGGGGGGGGGGAAGAGATCTGAGTACTGGGGGGGGGGGGGGCGGGGGGAAGAGATCTGAGTACTGGGGGGGGGGGAAGAGATCTGAGTACTGGGGGGAGGGGAGGAATTCTGAGTACTGGGGGGAGGGAGGAATTCTGAGTACTGGGGGGAGGGAGGAATTCTGAGTACTGGGGGAAGGGGGGGGGGGAGAGATCTGAGTACGGGGGGGGGCGAGAGGGAGGAGTTCTGAGTACGGGGGGGGAGAGGGAGGAGTTCTGAGTACGGGGGGGGAGAGGGAGGAGTTCTGAGTACGGGGGGGGGGAGAGGGAGGAGTTCTGAGTACGGGGGGGGGGAGAGGAGGGAGGAGTTCTGAGTACGGGGGGGGGGAGGAGGGAGGAGTTCTGAGTACGGGGGGGGGGGAGAGGGAGGAGTTCTGAGTACGGGGGGGGGGGAGAGGGAGGGAGTTTTTGAGTACGGGGGGGGGGGGGGAGAGGGAGGAGTTCTGAGTACGGGGGGGGGGAGAGGGAAGAGTTCTGAGTACGGGGGGGAGAGGGAGGAGTTCTGAGTACGGGGGGGGGGGGAGTGGCGGGGGAGGAGTATAGGGTTCTGAGTACGGGGGAGGGAGAGGGAGGAGTTCTGAGTACGGGGGGGAGGGAGAGGGAGGAGTTCTGAGTACGGGGGGGAGGGAGAGGGAGGAGTTCTGAGTACGGGGGGGAGGGAGAGGGAGGAGTTCTGAGTACGGGGGGGAGGGGAGAGGGAGGAGGTTCTGAGTACGGGGGGGAGGGGAGAGGGAGGGAGTTCTGAGTACGGGGGGGAGGTGAGAGGGAGGAGTTCTGAGTACGGGGGGGAGGGAGAGGGAGGAGTTCTGAGTACGGGGGGGAGGGAGAGGGGGAGGAGTTCTGAGTACGGGGGGGGAGGGAGAGGGAGGAGTTCTGAGTACGGGGGGGGGGGGAGAGGGAGGAGTTCTGAGTACGGGGGGGGGGGAGAGGGAGGAGTTCTGAGTACGGGGGAGGGGGAGAGGGGGGAGTTCTGAGTACGGGGGGGGGGGGGGGGAGAGGGGGGAGTTCTGAGGGTACGGGGGGGGGGGGGGGGGGGGGAGGGAGGAGTTCTGAGTACGGGGGGGGGAGAGGGAGGAGTTCTGAGTAATGGAGGGGGGAGATGACCTGAGTACTGGGGGGGAGGTGGGGTAGGAGAGGAGATCAGAGCACGGACATCTGAGTACTGGGGTGGGAGGAGATCTGAGTACTGGGGAGGGGGGGGCCAGGTACTGGGGGGGAGGAGATCTGAGTACTGGGGAGGGGGGGGCCAGGTACTGGGGGGGAGGAGATCTGAGTGGGGGGTAAGAGATCTGAGTACTGGGGGGGGGGGGAGATCTGAGTACGGGGGGGAGGGAAGAGATCTGAGTACTGGGGGGGGGGGGGAAGAGATCTGAGTACTGGGGGGGGGAAGAGATCTGAGTACTGGGGGGGGGGGGGGGGGGAAGAGATCTGAGTACTGGGGGGGGGGGAAGAGATCGGAGTACTGGGGGGGGGGGGGGGAAGAGATCTGAGTACTGGGGGGGGGGGGGGGGGGGGGAAGAGATCTGAGTACTGGGGGGGGGGGGGGAGATCTGAGTACGGGGGGGGGGGGGGAAGAGATCTGAGTACTGGGGGGGGGGGGAAGAGATCTGAGTACGGGGGGGGGGGGGGGGAAGAGATCTGAGTACTGGGGGGGGGGGGGGGAAGAGATCTGAGTACTGGGGGGGGGGGGGAAGAGATCGGAGTACTGGGGGGGGGGGGGGGAAGAGATCTGAGTACTGGGGGGGGGGGGGGGGGGGGAAGAGATCTGAGTACTGGGGGGGGGGAAGAGATCTGAGTACTGGGGGGGGGAGGAATTCTGAGTACTGGGGGGGGGGGGGGGAGGATTCTGAGTACTGGGGGGAGGGAGGATTCTGAGTACTGGGGAAGGGGGGGGGGGGAGAGATCTGAGTACGGGGGGGGGGGAGAGGGAGGAGTTCTGAGTACGGGGGGGGAGAGGGAGGAGTTCTGAGTACGGGGGGGGGGAGAGGGAGGAGTTCTGAGTACGGGGGGGGAGAGGGAGGAGTTCTGAGTACGGGGGGGGGGAGAGGGAGGAGTTCTGAGTACGGGGGGGGGGGGAGAGGGAGGAGTTTCTGAGTACGGGGGGGGGGGGAGAGGGAGGAGTTCTGAGTACGGGGGGGGGGGGAGAGGGAGGAGTTCTGAGTACGGGGGGGGGGGGGGAGAGGGAGGAGTTCTGAGTACGGGGGGGGGGGGAGAGGGAGGAGTTCTGAGTACGGGGGGGGAGAGGGAGGAGTTCTGAGTACGGGGGGGAGAGGGAGGAGTTCTGAGTACGGGGGGGGAGAGGGAGGAGTTCTGAGTACGGGGGAGGGAGGTGGAGGAGTTCTGAGTAATGGGGGGAGGGAGAGGGAGGAGTTCTGAGTAATGGGGGTGGGGAGGGAGTACTGGGGGGGGAGGAGTTCTGAGTACGGGGGGGGGGGGGAGGGAGGAGTTCTGAGTAACGGGGGGGGGGGAGAGGGAGGAGTTCTGAGTACGGGGGGGGGGGAGGGAGGAGTTCTGAGAGTACGGGGGGGGGGGGAGGGAGGAGTTCTGAGTACGGGGGGGGGGAGAGGGAGGAGTTCTGAGTACTGGGGGAGGGAGAGGGAGGAGTTCGGAGTACGGGGGGGGGGAGGGGAGGGAGTTCGGAGTACGGGGGGGGGGGGGAGGAGTTCGGAGTACGGGGGGGGGGGAGGAGGAGTTCTGAGTACGGGGAGGGGGGGAGGAGGAGTTCGGAGTACGGGGGGGGGGGGGGGGGGAGACGTGGGGGGGAGTTCTGAGTACGGGTGGGGGGGGGAGGGGTTCGGAGTTCTGGGGGGAGGAGTTCAGAGTACTGGGGGGGGAGAGGGAGGAGTTCTGAGTAATGGGGGGTGGAGGAGTTCTGAGTAATGGGGGGGGAGGAGTTCTGAGTACTGGGGGGGGGGAGGAGAGTCTCGGAGTACTGGGGGGGGAGGGGGTACTGGGGGGAGGAGTTCTGAGTACTGGGGGGGGGGGAGGAGGAGTTCGGAGTACTGGGGGGGGGGGGGAGGAGGAGTTCTGAGTACTGGGGGGGGGGGGGGGGGGAGGAGGATCTGAGTACTGGGGGGGGGGGAGGAGATCTGAGTACTGGGGGGGGGGGGAGGAGGAGTTCGGAGAGTACTGGGGGGGGGGAGGAGGAGATCTGAGAGTACTGGGGGGGGGGGGGAGGAGGAGATCTGAGTACTGGGGGGGGGGGGGAGGAGGAGATCTGAGTACTGGGGGGGGGGGAGGAGGAGATCTGAGTACTGGGGGGGGGAGGAGGAGATCTGAGTACTGGGGGGGGGGGGGAGGAGAGTTCTGAGTACTGGGGGGGGGAGGAGGAGTTCTGAGTACTGGGGGGGGAGGAGGAGATCTGAGTACTGGGGGGGGAGAGGAGATCTGAGTACTGGGGGGGGAGGAGGATCGGAGTACTGGGGGGGGAGGAGGAGTTCTGGAGGGGGGGGGGGGAGGAGGAGATCTGAGTACTGGGGGGGGGGAGGAGGAGATCTGAGTACTGGGGGGGGGGGGGAGGAGGAGATCTGAGTACTGGGGGGGGGGGAGGAGTTCTGAGTACTGGGGGGGGGAGGAGGAGATCTGAGTACTGGGGGGGAGGAGATTGAGAGTACTGGGGGGAGGATTCTGAGTACTGGGGGGAGGGAGTAGGAGGAGATCTGAGTACTGGGGGGAGGAGTTCAGAGTACTGGGGGGGGGGAGGAGTTCTGAGTACTGGGGGGAGGGGGAGGAGGAGATCTGAGTACTGGGGGAGGGAGGAGATCTGAGTACTGGGGGGAGGGAGGAGATCTGAGTACTGGGGGGGGGGAGGAGATCTGAGTACTGGGGGGAGGGAGGAGATCTGAGTACTGGGGGGGGGAGGAGATCTGAGTACTGGGGGGGGGGGGGAGGAGGAGATCTGAGGGGGGGGGGGGGGGGGGAGGAGGAGATCTGAGTACTGGGGGGGGGGGAGGAGGAGGAGATCTGAGTACTGGGGGGGGGGAGGAGGAGGAGATCTGAGTACTGGGGGGGGGGGGGGGGGAGGAGATCTGAGTACTGGGGGGGGAGGAGATCTGAGTACTGGGGGGGGGGGGGAGGAGGAGGAGATCTGAGTACTGGGGGGGGGAGGAGATCTGAGTACTGGGGGGGGGGGGGCCCCCAGTGCTGACCATGGCTGGGTAGGGGGATGGGATCCCATGGAAGTGACACCTGGGGATGCGCTCGGCCAGGCCTCACCTCTGATGATCCCGATCACAGAGCACGCTGAGCCCAGCCATGTGCCGCCCATCCCCCTCCCTGCCATCACACCTCCTCACCTGAGCCGTAAACTGAGCCTTCTGCTGCTCCACCGCCAGCATCCTCTGCAGGTCCGCCTTATCCGAGGCGCTGGCGCCCAGACCAGACAGGTCAAAATCAGAACCAAAGTCCGCCATGTCTGCCGGCCACGACCTTCAGCAGCTTGCAGACCCGGCACAGAGACAGCTCCGCCCCCCGCTGCGGGTCACAGAGTACCGCGCCCTGATTGGCTAAGCAGCGCGCCTTCGTGCGAGGCGCGGTACGCGGAAGCGTGCGTTTCACCTTAGCTGATTGTGATTGGCTGAGCAGTTCGCTCTGCACACCCTCTTAGTGTGAATGGACTGTATTTCCTTCTTCTGGTCATAAACTTACGATACAGGAAGTCATGATCCGTGTACGTACACTGGGGTGTGTAAGGGGAAGCCTGAGCTCTCCCTGTAGTGGCCGGTGAATGGTTTACTTCCGGGTGACAGGGTCACCTTGGCTGTGTGTCGGAAAGATGGCGGCTTTGGTGAAGCTGGGCTCGCTGTGCAGGGGAGGCAGAGGTGAAGCCACTTCTAGATAGAAGTCCGCATGCCGGGTCTGGGGTGGGGGGTCTATAGAAGGGGGGGAAGCAGGTCATGTCTCCCATTCTGACGTCATTACACGGACTGTACGATGTCTTCTTAGTAGATGAAGTTGTTTCCTCTTCCTTTGGCTCAGTGATTTTCCCTGAGGTCGGGGTCACACCTCTCCCGGGGTCACACCTCTCCCCTTCCCGTGTGTATTGTTATTATGGGCTCCTTCCTGACATCCCATTCATGTCTGTGGGCTGCCAAGTGCGCTGAAGGTACAGCAGGTGTGCGGTTTTAAATCCGCGCCACTAATGATACTGCGCTACTATTTATTATTTCAGGTACTTATATAGCGCCGTCAGTCTACGCAGCGCTTTACATATATATTGTACATTCACATCAGTCCCTAACCCTCAAGGGGCGTACAATCTAAGGTCCCTAACTCACATTCAGACATACACATACTAGGGCCAATTTAGACAGGAGCCAATTAACCTACCAGCATGTCTTTGGAGTGTTGGAGGAAACCGGAGTACGTGGAGGAAACCCACGCAGGCACAGGGAGAACATGCAAACTCCAGGCAGGTGGTGCCGTGGTTGGGATTCGAAGTGTAGCAATTATACAGGGGTTCGACAAAAATACGGAAACATGATTTGCAGATGTGAAAACAACTTGTTTCGTGTTGAAAGCGGTAGTGATGTAACCTTTTTTTTTTTTTTTTTTTCTGCGTGATGAGACACCTAGCTAACAGGTGGGAATTCTTACATTCGTCATTCACTGCGTGCACTGCTAGTAATACGGAGTCATGTCAGAGCTTACTGAGCTTCTAAGATGGCAAGTTGTTGGTGCTGGTTAGCTGGTGCCCCTGTGACTGAAGTTGACAATTTATTTGTTGTGTCGTGAGTTACGATATCAAAGGTTATGACCACATATACAGTTTTCGGGGAAAACGTGTGATAAGCATACACGTGGTCAACTGACCGAAAGAGACAAAAGGACATTGCGTAGGATTGTGACCCAGAATAAGAAAACAAATGCTGCAAAAGTGACTGCAGAGCTCAGTCTCAGTTTTCCAAAGCTCAGTCTCAGTCTTCCAGAGCCCGTGTCCACAAAAACTGTGCAGAGGGAACCTAATAGGCAAAACCGTCACGGGTGAGCTGCAATTGTCAAACCACTAGTGACCGACATTAATGCTCAGAAGAGGAGAAAGTGGTGCAACACCCATAAATCGTGGACTATCGATTAATAGAAGATTGTAATATGGATCGATGTATCCAGCATCACACTGTTCCCATCCACCAGACGTATTTACGTGTGGTGAACACCGTCCCAATCTTACAACCAGGACTCTCGTTAAAGCATAGTGGCGGCACAATCATGGTTTGGGCAGCCATATCTTGGTATTCTACAGACTCCATCATCACCTTACACAATAGTAAACCCTAACCAAAAATAAAAGTTTTCTTCTGCAAGGCAAAGGCATAATGGGCTGGTATGCATCACATCCTAGCACATTATGAAGGATTTGCCTTAAAATGAAGCCCTCCAGCAGTGCGCTATCACTGCTGCAGAGGCTTCCATCTTCACCTGGGCTTCCTTCCGGGTTCACGGACTGAGGCCACTTGATTGGCCAAGCTACGATGATGTCACTCTCACGCATGCGTGTGGGAGTCTTGGCCATGGCACACAGCTCTGAAGGAACGGCACGAGTATGCCATTCCTTCAGAGCGCATGAGCTGGTGATGTCACCGGCTGCAGCTCACTTAAGGATCTCCTAAATAGTGCAGGTTTAGGAGATATTCATTTTACCTACAGGTAAGCGTCATTATAAACTCACCTGTAAATAAAAATAATCAGTGAGCGTTTACTAAACCCCGACCCTGACCTGGTCTGCATTCACTCTGTCTGGTCTCCCCGGACCCTGCATTCACTCTGTCTGGTCTCCCCGCACCCCGCATTCACTCTGTCTGGTCTCCACGGACCCCGCATTCACTCTGGTCTCCCCGGACCCCGCATTCACTCTGGTCTCCCCGGACCCTGCATTCACTCTGTCTGGTCTCCCCGGACCCTGCATTCACTCTGTCTGGTCTCCCCGGACCCCGCATTCACTCTGTCTGGTCTCCCCGGACCCCGCATTCACTCTGTCTGGTCTCCCCGGACCCCGCATTCACTCTGTCTGGTCTCCCCGGACCCCGCATTCACTCTGTCTGGTCTCCCCGGACCCCGCATTCACTCTGTCTGGTCTCCCCGGACCCCCGCATTCACTCTGTCTGGTCTCCCCGGACCCCGCATTCACTCTGTCTGGTCTCCCCGGACCCCGCATTCACTCTGTCTGGTCTCCCCGGACCCCGCATTCACTCTGTCTGGTCTCCCCGGACCCCGCATTCACTCTGTCTGGTCTCCCCGGACCCCGCATTCACTCTGTTTGGTCTCCCCGGACCCTGCATTCACTATATATGGTCTCCCCGGACCCTGCATTCACTCTGTTTGGTCTCCCCGGACCCTGCATTCACTCTGTCTGGTCTCCCCGGACCCTGCATTCACTCTCTCTGGTCTCCCACAGTACAGAACATGGAAGTGCAATTATTTTAGTAAATATAAACTGCTAAATACCTTTTCTCATCAGCAGTCTTGTGACTTCTATCCTTGTCCAGCCCACCACTAGCTAAATCTTGTAGGAGGAGTTTTTTCTGCTCTAGGAGGATGGAAATCCCCTGACCTCTGTCTTGACAGTGCTGATTGGCCCTGTGCTGATCACATGCACTCTCCCAAGAAAAAAAAAAAAAAAAAAACCTCTAGAAATACACACCAAACTGAACATGTGCATGTCTACAGTTCAGTCTGAAGATAAGTGCTGGTTGCTTGAAAAAGGGGAGGAACAGAGGAGAAAGAATCAAACAGCATTTTTACACAATGCAGAGGATTAACCCCTTAGGTTCCACAGTGAGTATAACAAGCATGCTTTACTGCATATACAGACTGATTTTACTGTTGTGGGTTTAGTAACACTTCAATAAAAAAAAGAGACCATGTTAAAAAAAAAAGGTGTTAGATAAAATTAATAGTAAAAAACCATTTACAGCGCTCCCGTGCTTATGCACAAATGCAAGAGCATACGTAAGTCCTGCACCCATATGTAAACGGTGATCGCAGCACACATGTGAGGTATCGTTGCGAAAGTCACAGCGAGAGCAGTAATTCTAGGGCCGGACCTCCCGTGTATCTCTAAACTGGTAACCTGTAAATGTGTTTAAAGAATTTTAAGTACCGTAGTCAGTTTGGCGCCATTTTACTGGTATACACAGTTTTAAAGTGTGACATGTTTTGTATTTATTTACTTGATGTAACATCATCTTTTATATTTTACCAAAAAATTTGGTGTTGTGTTTTGTGTGCAATAGATAAAAAAAAAATTGCATTTGAAAAACCGCTGCGCAAATACTGTGTGACATGAAAAATTGCAACACCTATTATATTCTTTAGGGCCTCTGTTAAAAATATGTATAATTTTAAGTAATTTTCTTGCAAAAAAATTTAGCTTTGTACATGTTTGTGAGAAGTGTTTGAACTGACCTGTAGGCAAGTGGTTAAAAAGTAATTTGGTAAGCCTGGATTTTTTTTAGATCGGTCTATAGGTGGAATGTCCGCTAGGTGTCAGCAGAAGTATTTGGCATTGAAGCACATTTGGTCCTTTGTTTTACGTTACTGAGCAAAATGCTTCTCAAACAAAATTCAAATTTTTATTTCAGAGACTTATATAGCACCGTCAATTTACTCCGCGCTTTACATATATTGTACATTCACATCAGTCCCTAACCCTCAAGGGGCGTACAATCTGAGGTCCCTAACTCACATTCATACATACACATACTAGGACCAATTTAGATAGGAGCCAATTAACCTACCAGCATGTCTTTGGAGTGTGGGAGGAAACCGAAGTACCCGGAGGAAACCCACGCAGGCACAGGGAGAACATGCAAACTCCAGGCAGGTGGTGCCGTGGTTGGGATTCGAACCAACGACCCTAGTACTGCCAGGCGAAAGTGCTAACCATTTAGCCTTCGGGAAAGTCCCTGCCCTTCTTTGCATTGAACCATTTTCTTATATACATATCAAGGGCATTTTAAAGAGTTCACCATTACTAAAAACACTGTCTATGCAGATAAGGGGTGTCTTTACATAAAAACAAACCGTGCAGCTCTGACCATTTAAATGATGCCCTTTAGGTGTAGGCTATGTACCTAATACAGGAGGTGCAATGCTTTGCAGGCTCCTATGCAACAAAAAAAATAATAAATGCACATTTTTTTCCTGCAAAAAAAATGTGTTAATTTTTTTTTTTTTTTTTTTTAAAAAGTAAACTTAGCCCTTTGAACGCTTTTGATGTGATATCCGCGAATGTGTGCAGCTGCTAAGCCATCTGGATCTAAAACAGCATTGACTCTGGGAGCTGTAAAGTATTTTCACATGTCACAAAAATTAATGTGGGTGGAGAAATTGTTGGAAAATCCCCGAGTCCCAAGGACAGAGAGGATGTTGTAAAATAAAATCTAACACAAATCTGGCAAATAATTGATTAGTTATTGACACTGTTATCTGAGCAGAGGAGAAACCTAACATGTATGTGGTACTGTGTTTATTTCCACCATCTCAGCACAGATCCTCCAGTGATTCAGTCCAAAGTCCAGTGTGCATATCCTATGCTTCCATCATTGTATACATTCCTATGTTAGCTGCCGCACATACAATGCAAGATTGGGGACATAAGTGTATTAGCAGGCAGTGTGTGGAGTTTTCCTATCTGTCTGTCTTTTAGCCAAATCTCCTTGAAAGGATCCAGTTTGAAAAATGTATATAAAAAAAAAAAAAACACAAACTATAGCTGTCTTTTTAAAATAAACCTAGATTAAAGTGATACTAAAGGTTCAGATCTTTTTATTAAAAATAGCAAATATACCATACTTACCTGCTCCATGCAGTGGTTTTGCACAGAGCAGCCTCTATCCTCTTCTTCTCTGGTCCCCTGCCCTGGCTCCTCCCCCTTGCTGAGTGCCCCCAAAGCAAGCCATTTGCTCTGGGGGCACTTGTGCGTGCTCGCTCCTGAGCCACCAACACAATAGACCTCCGCCACCTCTGTGTGTCTTTTAACCACTTCAAGTCCGGACACTTTCACCCCCTTCCTGTCCAGGCCAATTTTCAGCTTTACCACACTTTGAATGACAATTGCGCGGTCATGCAACACTGTACCCATATGAATTTTTTTAGCATTTTTTTTTTTTGAGACAAATAAAACTTTATTTTGGTGGTATTTATTCACCACTGGGATTTTTTTTTGTTTTTGCTATATAAATGAAAAAGTCCAAACATTTTGAAAAAAAGTGTTTTTAAAATTTTGCAAATAAATATTTCTTCAGAAATCTTGGCCAAAATGTATTCAGCTATATTTTTAGTAAAAAAAAAACTAATAACCCAAATTAGTTTATAACCCTAAAAATTATAACTTTTTATTTTATTTTTTATATTTATTTTATTTTATTTTTTTTACATACCGTCACCCTAGCAGTACCGTGTCACCATAGTGACACTGTACTACTTGTGGGGGGTGCTGAAGATTTTTTTTTTCGTTTACACTGATTGCTTTTACAGCCGTAAAGGCTGTAAAAGCAATCATTTCTCCTTCTCTCTGGCTGCATTCCTGCAGCCATTGAGAAATACTGTGAGAGCTGTGATTGGTCACCGCTTGTCACATGGTACAAGGCTGTTGTGAATAGCCTTGTACCATGTGACCTCTGTGATCATTCACAGATTTCACTAGTAGTAAGCAATGATGTCTGGAAGTGACATCTTGCTTACTACTATTCATGTGATCACTGATTAGCCAATCAGTGATCATATGATCAGGACCTCACACAGAGGTCCCGTACAGCGATCGGTGTTCCGCTGTGTCCTCCCATCTCTTCCCCAGGTAAGCATCCAGCCATCCACATGATGTAAAAGAAAATAATGTGGTTCGTCAGACAGGGCCGCCCTCTTCCATCACTCTTTGCTCCAGTTCTGATGCTCATGTACCCATTGTAGGCAATTTTGGCTGTGGATAATGGATCAGCATGGGTACCATGACTGGACTGCAGCTCCATGGTTTCCCATAGGAATGTATTGAAAAACACCTCCACACTCAACGCCACGTGCTACCCGCAGACCCCAGCATGCACGGGGGCGGTGCTATAAACCTCCCAGGTGCAATGCATCCTGGGGAAACTTGCTTTGTATTGCAAAAAAAATTTGTAAACCGAGGCATTATTTTCAATGGATTTTCATTTGTGAACCGACAATTATGTTAACCGAGACATTCATAAACCGAGGTACCACTGTAGATGCATTTCATGTGTGTATTTAGCTGTATGGGGATTAGCTTTAGGCCAGCCATAGATGGTTCGAATCTCGGCCTGTTCAGCAGGGACCAGCCAAGATTCGAACCACCTGTGGGCTGGCTGATTGTACCCAATTTGATTGTTGTACGACTTTGGTACAACCAGCATGTTGGATTTTTACATGGGATTACTGCAAGCGGCTATAGTCACTAGCAGTAATCTCTGTGTGTGCTGGGAGCACACAATTACTCTGCGGGAGGGATTCCCCCATCAACACTGACTGTGTTGATGGGGGGGAATCAAGCAATTTTCTTTCCTGCAACCGTGGCTAGCCACACATTATACACTGGGGTAACAACCCCATTCTTCTTCCTTCTTTCTCTAATTTCTTATCCAAAGAATATAGATTGTTAGAGACAAATGCATTTACAGTTTGCTTACTTTCCCTGCTCTCACCCGTCAGCTGGAGGTTGCTTCATTCCAAAACAATGACTGTACAAAAGCATGGAGTGAATCATTCCTAAGAATTTGGTAACTGATGTTGTTATTGTTGACTTCTCATGTGATCACATAGATCATTTATTTAACTGGTATGTCCCGAGGACACCGTCGCGTCATTCATTCACAAATTCCTGTGAATGAGTAAAGTACTAGTACCATCTGCTGCTGGAGTTCAGCTTTCATTTGTTAGTCAAGTCCATCTAAATCTGCTAGACTAAAGCAGGCCATAGATGATGCAATTTTCTTTTCTTCCACCTTGGGGTGAAGGAAAGTAATTTGCTTTATTCCTCCATCAACACAGTCAGTGTTGTCTTGGGGTCTTGCAGGTTTAGTGTACTTTCTGAAAGCGCACCAAAACTGCTAAATGCGGGAGATTTGGTGCATTTTAAGAAAGTGCACTAAACCTGCAGGATATAATAGAAGTCTATGGCAAAGCTCAGCTAACCTGGGAAAGTCACAGATGCACTGAGCTACACCCGCGATGCAGGTAAACTGCAGCACATCATTGTGAAAGCAATCTTATCGGGGGCTCAGAACAGTAAGGATTCATTTACATTTGTAGTTTGGGGGGTGGTAAAACCCCATGGTTCAGACCACCCCAAAGTGAAACAAAAAACAAGAAGCGCACCAACCTTGCGCATTACCTCAGTAACAGAATTTATTAATAAAAGATAGGTACTCACAAACAGCGAATAAAATCAGGCATGTAGTCCTCAAAGGGACTTCAAAGATAAGAAGCCAGCGCAAATCTTTGCAGTATTGATCGGGCTTCCCCCAGCTGCACAACCTTGAAATATACTGGTGGTCGCTTGCTCTGGTGTTGGTTCCATCTATTTGCCACCGGTCTGGGCCCTAGAGCGCAGGAGAAATCGCAGCTGGTCTAAGACCACCCCAATCCCAACCGCACCCCCTTTAGCTGCAGTGGCCAGAGGTGTACACATGTTGCAGCAGGAGTTATACGTTCTGTCATGGTTGGTGGGTGTAGCACCTGCCAAGCATGACTTATTCAAGAGAATTAGGCCGCTGTGCAGGTGCCCTGCAACTTTATGCAGTACAGCAAACAAGGGGTTAAAGCAGGCAGCATTGTGTTGCTTTCTCCCCACCTGCTTTAAGCCCTTGGACCCTGCAGAGGCATGCAGTTGGTGGGGCGCTTGCAAAGTGACCCTATTTACTTGAATGGGTTGCAATTGGCAGGCGGTAGCACCTGCCAAAAGCAGTGGGGTTTAATTCCTGCTGCAGCATGTGTATACTTCGGCTGATACCTCGGCAGCTAAAGGAAGTAGGGATTGGGGTGGTAAAACTGCGACTCAACAGAAGGGTTTTACGACCCACCAGCTTTACCTGTAAACAAGCCCTAAGGGTGCCACAGCCGAATGCAACTTAGTGCTCATTCACAAGTGCAGCGGGCACTGCTGCTCTTCTAAAAAGTGTCTTTGACAGATGGCAAGGAGGCGATATGTTGCCTCCTCACCACCTGATTTAAACCCATGATTTCAGTGCAATGCACACAATTGCGACACAGTAGTTGTAAGTCACAATGTATTAAATGTGTGCTTTTGGGTTTAATACCACTTTAATAATTTTTTTTTTTTTTCATTCAACCAGCAGTTGAATAGGTGAATAACTGCCGACGTGCTATTGTGTTCTGACGGCAGGGAACCTTCCCCGTTGTGAGAATACACTGATCAGTGCTGTCGGCTTTAGCCTGCGGCAGTGATTGTTCAGGAAAATCCTGACAGGATGGTTGTACACATGCCGTTTATTAGATTGACTTCTGTACAACCAGCCTGTCTATACATGGATCGAAACTCAGCCTGTCCCTACTGAGCTGGACCAAGTTTGATCCATGTATATGGCCAGCATAACACTCAGGTTTATTCAACTTGTAGTTGTACAACTGAGGTTGTAGTACATCATTAGGGTACTGCGTAGATAAAATAACATTTCTAGATAATAGCAGCAGGTTTTCAGTGGTGGATTCCAGGTAAATTTTAAAGCGGATGTAAAAGCCGGAGGTAATTTACCTTCATGCATTCTATGCAGCTTTCCCCCCAGCCCCCCTAATACTTACCTGATCCTGATCCAGCAATGTGCACGAGAGCAGAGGCTCTCTCGGCTGTATTACTTCCTATTGGCTTAAAGACAGAGGCAGGAGCCATTGTGTCCAATGGGGGGGGGGGGGGGGGGCTAAGATGCACTCTATGGTGCTATGGTGGGCACTCAGCAGGGGGGAGGAGCCAGGAGCTCCAGCGGGGGATCTGAGAAAAGAAGGGTTAGGGCTGCTGTGTTCAAAACCATTGCACAGAGCAGCTAAGTATAACTGCATGTTATTAAAAAAAACAGGAACATTTAGAATCAACATAATAACTGTTTCAAGAGATGTTTTCGTTAGGTAGTCATTGAAGCTCAGTATTGTTTGCTGGTATAAGTTTCTTCTTAGAGTTACAGCAAACTTGTACACATTTTCTTCATATTATTACTCCTTGTTTACATTAAAAAGGGAACAAAGCTTATTTTTCTTTAACTGTCAATTATATTTGGATTTTTTAAATCTATTAATGTCAACAATCTTTAATCTCTTCCCTTTTCAGCTTTTGCTTTTGGTAATTCTTTCCTGATCAGACCTGCAGCGGTATTACCACAAGATCGTCCTTCATTTCAAGGTTCACTAATCCATGTTTCATCCAATAGACAAGGTAAGGGAAGTAGCTGGTCTGTAGACACTTGATTGCTATACTTTGACCTGTTTTATATGGGATGGCATAAATCATGGAGGCTCTTTAACACCTGGTTCTAAAAGTCGTGTTGAGAGGACTAAATGCACCTCTGCACCACCTCCACCTAGCATTTTAGAAAGTTTTTAGTACTAGACACACTAGTGATGTGAGCACTGGAGAAGCCAATTTGGCTAGAAAAGTGTGTGACGTGTACCTGAGAAATGAGTTATCGCAGGATAATTATGACGTTGTTGATTTTCATAAAAGAAGCAGCAGCTGCATTCACAGGAGCCCGTTTCAAATTCTTGTGAAACTTAAGAAACCAACGCATGTTGCCGTGCAGAAAGCTATTGTGTGGTGGTAGATTTGGCAAGGAAGATCACCTTTTTGTGGGTCATCCTTTTCCCTACTACAGAGATTTTGTTGTACAGAGCAGGACATCCTAGAATTCTTATGTCTTTTTCTGTGGACATGATGTCTGGGTTGAAGTGATATTAAAGGCAGCTTTTTTAACCACTTCCTGTCCGGACACTTTTACCCCCTTCCTGACCAGGGCAATTTTTAGTTTTCAGCGCTATCACACTTTGAATGACAATACTGTACCCATATGAATTTTTTACCATTTTTTTGAGACAGATAAAGCTTTATTTTGGTGGTATTTATTCACCGCTGGGATTTTTATTTTTTTTAGTATGTAAATGAAAATGTCCAAAAATTTTGAAAAAAAGTGTTTTTTTTTTAATAAAATTTTGCAAAGAAATAATATTTCATCATAAATCTTGGCCAAAATTTATTCCGTTATTTTTTTAGTAAAAAAAAAAAAATCCAAATTAGTTTATAACCAGAAATTATAATTTTTAAACATTTTGTTTACATTTTTATTTTATTTTTTTATATTATTATTATTATTTTTTTTTTTACATACTGTCACCCTAGCAGTACAGTGTCTCCATGGTGACACTGTACTACTTGTGGGGGGGTGATGAAGATTTTTTTTTTTTTTTTTTTTACACTGATTGCTTTTACACCCATATAGGATGTAAAAGCAATCATTTTCTCTTTCTCTCTGTCTGCATTCTTGCAGTCATTGAGAATTACTGAGTGAGCTGTGAGTGGTCACAGCTTGTCACATGGTACAAGGCTGTTGTGAATAGCCTTGTACCATGTGACCTGTGTGATCATTCACAGATTTCACACATAGTAAGCAATGATGTCAGGAGTGACATCTTGCTTACTACTTTGCATGTGATCACTGATTCGCCAATCAGTGATCACATGATCGGGACCTCGTACATGCTGCTGACGTTTTATAAAAGAGTACTTGCCTGTCAAAGGATCCAGCGGCTCCCTCACCTGAGCCAGTTTTTCACTAGTCTTTGGGTCCTTGGTGCTGGCATGTTAATTGTGGGCAGCCGGCTGTGACTCCTTGCAGCTTCACAGCTGGCTGCCGGCTGAGCTTTGTGAATGGTCCCACTGCTTTCTGGGGCCTGTGAAGTGCCCCAGAAGGTTGCAGGCAGGGAGGGGGAAAGAAAACTTCCAGTGGATCTGCTGCGGCAATCAGACTAGAAGTGAGAGTGGGTACCTGTCAAAACCAGATCCCTACTCCCCCCAAAAAAAGCAAAATCCAAAGGTGGATGAGGAGTGAAGTTCTGCTTTAACTTTAAAGTATAAGTTCACTTTTTCAGAAAAAAATTAAAAGGTGAACTTGCACCATCCCCCCCCCCCTCTAGTCCCCACTGTATTTGCCTCCATGGGTCATGAGCTGTCAGGGTCCACACAGCTGGTGCAACTATTTAGGGATTTGAAATCCCCACTCTTATCTATTTTCTTTCTGCAGTGATTCCAGGATTGGATCAGAGCAATTCTGATTGGCCTGTGTCAGCACAGATCATCTCTCTGATCCATTATGGAAGCCCTGCAGAAAGAGGAGGGAGAAAAGTGGGGTTCTCAAATCCCCAGACCACTAGTACTGTGATAAGTTTGTCTATGTTACAGTGGGGCAAATAATTATTTGATCCCCTGCAGATTTTGTAAGTTTGCCCACTTGCAAAGAAATAAAGGGTCTATATTTTTTTATCATAGGTATATTTTAAATGATAGACAGAATATCAACCAAAAATCCAGAAAAACACATGACACAAATACAAATGTTATAAATTGAGTTGCAGCTCAGTGAGTAAAATAACCATTTGATCCCCTACCAACCAACAATAATTCTGGCTCCCACAGAATGGCTATGTGCTCATGTGGTGCACAGATTAGTCCCGTCAATTTAAGAAGGTCTTCTGAACGACAACTCCTATAAAAGACGTCTGTCCACTGAATCTCTTTCTTCCATTCAAATGTAACCACCATGGGCAAGACCCAAGATCTGTCAAAGGACGTCAGGGACAAAATTGTAGATCTGCACAAGGCTGGAATGGGCTACAAGACCATCAGCAAGAAGCTTGGTGAGGAGGAGACAACTGTTGGAGCGCTTATTCACAAATGGAAGAAATACAAAATAACCATCAATCGCCCTCAGTTTGGAGCTCCATGCAAGATTTTGCCTCATGGAGTAAGGATGATCATGAGAAAAGTAAGGAATCAGCCCAGAACTATATGGAGGGAGTTTGTGAATGATCTCAAGGTAATTGGGACCACAGTCACCAAACAAACCATTGGTAACACAATAGGCCGCCATGGATTGAAATCCTGCAGCGCCTGGAAGGTCCCTTTCCTCAAGGAACATGTACAGGCCAGTCTGAAGTTTGCCAATGAACATCTATATGATTCAGAGAAGGTTTGGGAGAAAGTGCTTGCTCAGATGAGACTAACATTAAGCTGCTATGCTGTCTATGACCCGAAGAACACTATCCCTACAGTCAAGTACGGAGGTGGAAACATGATGCTTTGGGGCTGTTTCTCTGCTAAAGGTACAGGCTGACTTTGCCGCATTGAGGGGCCAATGGACGGGGCCATGCATTGTAAAATCTTGGATAAGAACCTTCTTCCCTCAGCCAGAACACTGAAGATGGGTTGTGGATGGGTCTTCCAGCATGACAGTGACCCAAAACATACCGCCAAGGCAACAAAGGAGTGGCTCAAGAAGAAGTACATTAAGGTCATGGAGTGGCCTAGCCAGTCTCTAGACCTTAATCCTATAGAAAATGAATGGAAGGAGCTGAAACTTCAAGTTGCCAAGCAACAACCAAGAAAGTTTAAGAAGTTAGGGAAGATCTGTAAAGGAGAGTGGACCAAAATCCCTCCTAAGATGTGTGCAAACCTGGTAACCAACTACAAAAAACATCTTACCTCTGTGTTTGCCAACAAGGGTTTCTCCACCAAGTACTAAGTCATGTTTTGCTTGAGAATCAAATTACTTATTTTATTCACTGAACTGCAGTTCGGTTTATAACATTTGTATCGTGTTTTTTTTCTGGATTTTGGTTGATATTCTGTCTCTACCATTTAAATACACCTATGATAAATATTATAAACCCCTCATTGTAAGTGGGCAAGCTTACGAAATCTGCAGGGGATCAAATAATTATTTTCCCCACTGTATGATCTTTATTGCAGTATACTGGTACATAGAATACATGGTAATCCTACATTGGTATGAGACAATCTTATGTCCTCTTTATATGAAATGAAACAAAATGTATGTGTTAAAGCCTTTTGAAAATTAGTATTTCTACAATGAAAGTGTTGTTAGAGATGGGTCATCCAGGATAGGAAGATGATTTTTTTATAATTCTGATTGTTCTGTCTGTTTTCAGCAGCAGGATCCAAAGGAGCCTCCCTCCATTGGACAGGGGAGAGAGTACTGAGTGTGACTCTCCTGGGTCTCATCCCTGCAGCTTATATGTATCCAGGAGCTGTCATGGACTACTCACTGGCTGCTGCTGTCACTCTGCATGGCCATTGGTAAGCCACTGTTTGTAGAATATTTTTATATTGATTGAAATCTTAAAAGAGAACTTTCACTCCCCCCTGAATATTTTTTTCTTTCTTTCCCTTTGCCTTGTCTGCTGGGTTTTCAAAAACATACAAATCCAACATTGTCTTGCTGTGACCTGCCAAACTGATGCTGCATGCTGGCTTCCATACCGCCATCTTTCTTTTTCTTACATGATCACGAGCCCTCTGTCTCTTACTGGTACAGGCAGTTATCCCCCTAATGATGTGCAGCCAGGTCCGCCATACTCCTGCCACTGTTGAAGCTGATGCCTGTTGGAATATGCGACATACATATCACAGGAGGCTTCAGGAGTGGAGGAGACTGAAGGAGATTGATGGGGGTAGGGTGGCAAAAAAAAAAAAAAAAAAAGTAAATCCGCTCCGATTTATACTTTTTCATTGTGTATTGTACAATGTTTCTCCAAAAATGTATCTTGTATATAACATATGAACCTAATCTCTATAAACTATGGAATATTTGCAAAAAATACAGTCAAAGTACTTTAAACCATAGAACTCTCATTAAAGTGGTTCTAAAGGCAGAAGGTTGTTTACCTTAATGCTTTCTTTGCATTAAAGCAGAATTACACTGCACCTGAGCACCACAAACCAAAAACACTATTTAATTCATAGTTAATATTCAAAGCAAACTCACCCATCCATCTATGCCCCCATGCTTTATTTTGCTGGGAAATCACTTTGAAAAACACCCCCTAGCATTTCTCGCCATGGCCATCTTTATTAAGGGCAGATGATTCATGAATACTTTTCTTCCTGGAATTCCTCTGCCCTTATTTCAGGCATGTAAGCAGGTGGGTGAGTATAGCTGAGAAAACCCCTCCTCCCTCTTGAAGACTGGGGGTGTATGACATAATTTGCATAGGCCTGGAAACCAGGAAGTACTGTAAGTAAAGAAATGTTACAAAAATTAAAACTAGTAACTATAACATACTTTTCTAACTATTTACTAATGCTAGGAACATAAGGATTTTACATAGTCAGTGCTGACTGAGAGAGTGAACTTCAGTTTTAAGATAAAAAAAAAAAAACCTGCGTGCAGCTCCCCCCTTAGTTCCCCCTTATACTTGCCTGAGCCCCATCCTGATCCAGCGATGCTCATGAGAGCCTGATCTCTCTTGCCATATTGGCTCACACGGCAGCTGGAGACCTTGGCTACTGCTGCTGTCAATCACAGCATGTGTAGAGAGCGGGGGGAGGGGCCAAGCCATGCTCTGTATGTGACTGGACAATGTCCATTCACAGGAGCGAGCCTTCTCGATTGCCCCATAGCAAGAGGTTTGCTATTGGGAGGCACTCGGCAGGGTGGGGGGGACCCAAAAAGAAGAGGATTCGGGCCGCTCTGTTTAAAACCATTACAGGAAAGTATAACACATGGTGAGGTGCATAAGGGTGGAGGATTGCACACTTCTGGTAACAAAGTGAAGTTGTTTTTTCCAACACCTGGGGACTCTTTGTACATCTCGTCTGGAGAGATTTGATATACCTTTCATCTGGATATATACACTATTAATTGTACATATTTATATGCACAACACTTTTTGATTGCTTTGCTTATATGGTTACTGCATTGTATGGCGTATTAAACCTTTATACACTGATTTTGCTGAGCTTGGTTCATTGGTTTGATGCATTTTAATTTGTATTTTTTGCACTAAGAAATGTTCCATATTTTATAGGGATTAGGTTCATATGTTATAAGATACATTTTTGGGAAAGCGCTGTACAGTACACAGGTGGTTAAATTATAGGGGTAATATTTAAATACAGAAGCAGGGGGGGTAAGGAGGAGGCGTGGACACATTTCATTGCATATAAGTGCTTTTCGTTGTGTGGCAGAAAACCTTAATAAATACATATCAACAAGGGATAAAGGTACAACTAATTGTACAAATTTTGTAAGTGTATATCAAATTATAAATATAGAGGTGGCAACACTAAGTAAAGGGTCCACATGTGGGTAAAAAGTGTTAGGTTTTTGGCATAGTGCTTAGGCTAGGTGCTCATCTTGTTATGCACTCACTGTGGATTCAAAATCACTGCACAAAGCAGGTAAGTTTGTTATTAAAAAAAATAAAAAAGCCTTTAGAATCACTTTAATGAACTTTGTTACTTTTTACATAATTGATGGTGTTGTTTCCTTGCTCATGGGTCAACACATCTGAACAACAAGACCGAAAGGAGAAATTGATTGCATTTGACTATGTGAAAAGCTATACACAGTTAGGGCTCGTTCACACTTGGCTGTTTTACCAACGCTTGCCAAACGCCCCTATAGTGTTTGGCAAGCATTGGTCCGGCGTTTGCGGAGCGTTTTTTAACGCTTGGCAAACGCCGCATGCGCGGTTTAGCGGCGGTTGCTGGGCGTTTGCCGAGCGTTAATAACGCCCCACAAACGCCTATAATGCAGTTTGAGTGGTGTTACCTGCTCCGCAAACGTGTCGCAAACGCCGGCCGGGCGTTTGTGGAGCGGCACCATAGACGAGAATAGGAGGCCTCAACGCCTCCTGACTCGACTAGAGGCATCTGTTTTGCTGCGACGCGACGCAAACGCTCCCGTTAGAACAGCACCATGTGCTGTAATGTGCAGAATTGGCAGAGGCGTTTGGGAAGCGGTAAAAACGCTTCCCAAACGCCTCTCTGCCGCCTGCACACAACGCTAGTGTGAACGTAGCCTTACATAGTAGATAAGTTTGAAAAAAACACACAGGTTCATAAAGTTCATCCTGTGCGAGCTTTAGAAAAAAGGAAACCTTTTCAACAGCTTTAATGCTTCCTATGGTGATTGCCCCCCTCCAAATCATTGGATTCAGGTGTTCAACTCACTTCCATGGCCACAGGTGTGCATTTCAAAAACAGTGTTGGTGTTCCTTTTATCTTCAACGTGAAACTTCCTTGTTTAAATTTTTTTCAACTGTTAGTGGTGTTACAACAAAGTATACTGGGAACAACAGCAACTCAGCCACTAAGTGGCAGACCACATAGAATGATAGAGCGGGGTCAGCGCATGCCACTCCAGAAAACTGTCTGCAGAGTCAATAGCTAGACCACCTCCAAACTTCATGTGGCCACAGATTGGTGCAAAAATGTAGAGAGCACCTAGTGGAATGGGTTTCCTTCTACAAGCCTTTCACCAACTGCAATGAAAGCGTTGGGTGGCTCTAGACCAGTGGAGACATGTTCTCTCAGTGACAAGTTTTTCTGTCTGGCAATCCCGTGATGCCAGGAGAACGGTACTTGCCTGACTGCATTGTGCAAGTGTAAAGTTTGGTGTAGGGGGATTATGGTGTGAGGCTATTTTTCAGGGGTTGGGCTTGGCCCCTTAGTTCCATTCTTAAGGCATAACTACCAAGACATTTGTTTGGTTACTAAAGTTCATGTGCGGGTACACAGGTGCCCCAATAACTGTGTGTGTGTATGGTATGTATATACAGTCATGGCCGAAATTGTTGGCACCCTTGATATTTCTCCTGGGAAATCATGTATTTCTCACGAAACGTATTGCATTTATTAACTCATGTTTTGCTATACACACTGGGACAAAACAAAAAAAGGGAGGAAAGAAAGCAAATTCGACATAATGTCACACAAACCTCCAAAAGACCAAAAGTACACCCTTTCAGAACTGCGGATAGAATGTTACAAGCATGGATGTCTCCGCATGCTGTAAAGGTGTGGGCGCACAGTGATAAAAAGAAGTCGCCAACTGTCTGCTGTCTGAGTCACTAGCTAGACCAGAGGACCTCCAAACTTCTGAGGACCTGGCCAAAATTGGCACAGCTCAAGGTTACAAGTCCATATCCAGAGAACTAGAGCTTTGTCCACGTGGAATGGGTTTCCATGGCCAAGCAGCTGCAATCCAAGCCTTACATCACCAACTGCAATGCAAAGCGTTGGGTGCAGTGGTGTAATTTAAATGAAATGAAAGCACGCCACCACTGGACTCTAGACCAGTGGAGACATGTCGGACTGGAGTGACCAATCAAGTTTTTCTGTCTGGCAATCCGATGGACGTGTCTGGGTTGCCAGAGAAACGGTACTTGCCTGACTGCATTGTGCCAAGTGTAAAGTTTGGTGTAGGGGGGATTATGGTGTGAGGCTATTGTTTTTTCAGGGGGGGCATCTTGTGGAACTATCCCCATTTTAGTTGGCAGGAGACCCAGGAGGACCCCAGTGAAGGGAACTCTTAAGGCATAAGCCTACCAAGACAGAGCTTTTCGGGCACATCATTCTACTGTTTACCCATTACAAAGAACAAAACACAGTACCTTCGGTAAAATATGGTGGATGTTCAATGATGTTTTGGGGTTGTTTTGCTGCCTCTGCGGGTGCCACTGTGTGCAGGTGCTGAGGATTACCAAAGGATTTTGGGTGTGTAGGTGTGTGTCAGTAGCTGGGTGTATGCGTATCCTGGGTCTTCCAGCAGGACAATCTATACACACACACACACAATGCTCAGTATAAATGAGTACACCCCTATTGAAAAGTAAGATTTTAGTCAATATCACCATGAACACAAAAACAATTTCTAAAATATTTTTAAAAGCTTTAAGATTTTTATAGAACATTTGTTTAGCTCATTACATGAAAGTAAGGTTGATAATATAATTTAGATTACAAAATCTTCAGATAATATAATTTTTTACTCAGATAAGTTGATGCAAAAATGAATACACCGCACAACAAAAAACTACTATATGTAGTATTATTGTATGACCTCCATGATTTGTAAGGACAACACCAAGGCTTCTATACATGGAATGAACAAGCTAGAGACATATTGCAACATCTATCTTTTTCCATTCTTCAAGAACAACCTCTTTTAGAGGCTGGATGAAGAGTGATGCTCAACTTGTTTCTTCAGAATTCCCCATAGGTGTTCCATTGGGTTCAGATCAGGAGACATACTTGGCCACTGAATCACATTCACCCTGTTCTTCTTCAGAAAGGCAACATTGGCCTTTAGACGTGTGTTTTGGATCATTGTCATGTTGGGAAAGTGCACGATGACCAAGGGCACAGAGTGATGGTAGCATCTTCTCTTTCAATATAGAGCAGTACATCTGTGAATTCATGTGACCGTCGATGGAATGCAGCTTCCCGACATCAGCAGCACTCATGCAGCCCTACAGAAGACGCTGCCACCACCATGTTGTGCTGTAGGCACCATGCATTTGTCTTTGTACTCCTCACCTTTGCAACACCATACAGTTTTAAAGGCATAGGTTCCAAAAATATTTATCTTGGTCTCATCACTCCAGAGTACAGAGTCCCGGTAGCCTTCTTTTTCAGCATGGGCCCTGGCAAATTCTAGGCTGGCTTTTTTGTGCTTGGGCTTTAAGAGAGTCACCCGTACATGTCATTGCTCTGCAGTGTACGCCGTATCCTGCCACGGGAAACAATCACCTCCGTTTTGCTTTCTATTTCTTTAGCTAACTGCAGTGAAATCGCATGGCGATTTTCTTTAACCCTTCTCATTGGAAGACGCTCCTGTCGAGGTGTTAACTTCCATGGATGGTCTGGATGTCTCTGTGAAATGGTTGCACTTCGATCTTTGTTAAATTTTGTATCACTTTTGCCACAGTATTCTGACTAATAAGTAAAGATTTGCAGATCTTGTAGCCTTTGCCTTTTTCTTGTGTAAAGAAATTATTTTGTGACATTTCTCTTCCATGTGGAGCCATTGCTGACAGCATGAAATGGGAAGGGTTTTCTTTAAGTAACACCCTTTTATAATCAGCTGTCTGCTGGACACTAGTTTAATGAATAATTAGACTCACCTGTAGTTGAATGCTCTTTAATAGGATTTTGTTGTCTAAAATTTAGCTTTGTTCCTAAGACTTTCATTGGGGTTTATTCATTTTTGCAACATGGTCTTGAATGAATGTTAGATAAAATACTTTTTTGTGTGTGCAAATGAACAAGTCTTGTTTGCAATCAATGGCCGGCATTTGTGGGAGGATTTTTCAGTATAGTGTCCCACAGAAAATGTGGATTCTGAAAGGAAAGTAAAGGTTTCCTGACAAATCTGTTGGGGTGTTCATTTATGCTAATAGGTGTGTGTGTGTGCGCGTGCGTGCGTGCGTGCGTGCGTGCGTCCGCCCGTCCCACCATTTTAAAGTGTTTTTTTATTTAGTTTATTTATACTGTGTACTACTAAATCAAGAAATTCATTATCTGTGTGGTATGAATTTTTATTTGTACACACACTTTAAATATAATCACACCATTCCGTGTTCACATTAGCTGTATGTTTGTTTCTAGTTGGCCTATGACTCATGTTTTCTAATACACTGTATCATTGTTATTTATAATCACTTTTTAAATTGTGTACTTTTTTTTTTTCTTTTTTTTTTTTAGGGGTTTTGGACAAGTAGTGACTGATTATGTTCATGGAGATACAAAGATTAAGCTGGCCACTACTGGACTTCTAGCTCTCTCATCCCTGACATTTGCTGGCCTGTGTTATTTCAATTATCATGATGTGGGCATCTGCAAAGCAGTCGCTATGCTCTGGAGTCTGTGATTTGAAGGCAAATGAATGTATTGCAACAACTGTTTTATACCTCTGAGGAACAGGACAACAGACAGTGCCAGTAACTGACGTATATTGGCTTGTGAACGATGGAGGTTGTGTTTGCAGGCAATTATGGTCATGGTACATTCTATACAGTCTATTCAATTTTTTTTTAATAAGATTGTCCCCCCTTCTTCCAGCACAGCCATACAACCTTATCCAGAAGCTATTAAATTGGGGAGATCTGACAACATTCTGTATTAGTAGATTGATATTCCAAATATGGTCTGCATCCAGTTGCAGTGCCAATTTCCTTTTACTGCCAGAAACTGCACTATATGTCATTGTCCCAATCACCGCTTCATTGACGATATATTAGTTTGCCAGATTGATCAACATGATCTATACTATCCTGTCTTCCGGGTGGAAAGGGCATCAGTACATCATTCAGGCTCACAGCTGGCTTTAATAATACTCTTTTTAAGGCATTAAATAACTTACACCTTATTTAATGAAGGCTCCCTGCACAATTTTCAGTAGTGCTCAGAAGTGAATACATTTTTGTTTAATTCTTCAAATAAAGAATAATAAATACTGGCATCCATAACTATGATACTGCGTTTAATTCAGAGCGAGAATATGTATGTATACGTTTTATTTAGCCCTTTCATTACCAGATGTCATTGGTTCCTGGAGGCTCAGGACAAACGTAGCAGGGTCAGTACGTGTCTGTTGACTTAACGCAGAACTATACTCGCCTTGGCTGTAGTGATGCAGCATCCCCGAGCTGCCTGGACTCTGCCCCAACTTTTTGCACACTTGCAACTTCAGGGGAATGCGGAAATGACGTGGGTGTCTTACAGAGGCTTTTTATAAAATCACCCACAGCAGATAATAGGATCCTGAACAAGAAAGTATTTACATATGTTTGCGGTAACTTGGCAATTTAGGGATTTTTTTTTCACAGAACGTCTGTCGTAATCTTTGGATAAGCTTTCGGTAAGTCTCATGGGCAGGATGTGGCTTTGTAGACACAGGACTCTGGTGTAATTGTAATTAACTATAAAACAGGAATGTCTTGAGAAACGTCAGATTTCACAGTGACTAAAAGCATTGATGTTTATGCATTATCACCCCTTTCTTTGACCTTTTTTTTACTATAGCTGACATTCTTGTTTACATACTTGTGAGTTGAAGCAATGGAACTGATAGCAGGGAAAATGGGTTTGTCAGAAACTGACAAAACACATTGAATGGAAAGAATACCCTAAGGCCCCTTTCACACTGACATTCGGATCAGGTTCACCTGTCTGTTTTTCATGTGTACCCGATCGAAACCAATTGAAGTGGGAAGTGCAAACGGATATGTGTCCATTTACACCAGCCTACATCCAATCCGATCTGCCAAAAAAAAGGTTTGGCTGGGGATCCCCCTTCCATTCAGCAGATCGGATCAGATGGAAGTCTGGTGTAAACGTACAGACGGTCCGTTTACATCCAAATGCCCATAGAGGAGAGTGGGCTGTATCTATCATCCACCTGCTCAGCAGACCGATTCCCTTGCTGAGCAAAGGGATCTGCCCCTTTCACACAGGAATTTATTCATCTGTCAGTTTTTCAGATGGATCCAGGCTGAACCACAATGTATGTCTATTGGTGGGCGGATGTAAATCAATGATATCTGTTCAGGTCTGTTTTTTGGAACAGCCAACATCCAGATAAATTGAAATGGAACAGAACGAATGTAGACAAATACCATCCATTTACATCCTGTTCATTTTTTGGCAAGAAACATTTTTTTTATACTTTTGGCACCTCTGGTCTCTGCAACAAGAAAAAAATGCATGCAAAAATGGATGTAGAATGCTGTAAACTGAACTAATATAAACTGAACTGAAAACCGATATTGCAAACTGATGTAGACTGGTAAAGTGAATCTGTTTTTTCTTTGAAAAAACACGACTGAATGGATGACGTCAATGTGAAAGGGGCCTTACACAGGTGACAACCATCCAGCTACATAATGACAAGATACAGCACTAGCGTAGAGCTAAACAATCAAGCCGACAAAGACATCTCTCAGCATGCCTCTCTGAGCCTGTCGGCTTGCTCAGTGAGGAAGCTGACAGGCGCAGAGAGATTTGCTGATAGTGGAGGCATGGAGGGCCAGATAGGGACAGCCGGAGGGCCAGATAGGGACAGCCAGAGGGCCAGAAGTTTTCCCAGGTCTGTGTTAGAGGGTGCAACGATATGCCAAAAAGACAAACAGGTGGGACTTTACTGGCTTAATCTCTCAAAAGCATAGTAAAATCCTAGAATTTTTATTCGTCTATATTTAAAAAGTCAGCTTGTACATTTAAAACTGTAATGTAACCACCCTAAATGAGCACCCCCCCCCAGATAGCCAATCCTTAGCATAAATAAACGAAACCTAATAGGCCAAGTGTTACTTCCCCCTAAGTCGCTGTCACATTTAAAATCGGTACAGCCGCATAATGATTTCACAGTGGGCTGTGAATGAAGAAACTAAAAGACCCATCTTCCAACGTGGCAGATGGCTTGTAGATCTCAGTGAACTACATGCGCGCTGATCAGAGTGCTTGTAGTCGATTCCATTCTTCCTCCAGCTTTCCTACTGAAAGCCATACAGAACTTACAGGCAGAAAGCTGGAGGAAGAGCATGCAGGAGGTGTCAGGATTGGGATCTGAACCCACAAACTCTCTGAAGTAGCCATCATCACTGTGCCACCAAGGTTGCTGGACAGCTCCCTGCCCGATTCCTTAGACAACCTTACCCTGTGTTGTGTTTGCTCCTCCTCCTAGGCGGCTTTTTCTCATGGCAACGCAGGAGAATGCAGTTCCGGCACCTCCAGCACTGAATGTATGTAATGGCAAGAAATGCTGGGGTGTGCTGGAGGATCTGGCTGCTGGGGCATTTATTGTCGCTGGAGGGGAAGGTATTATGTTGCTGGGGGTTCAGTTGTTGCTGTGAGGGATCTACTGTTAAAGGAGAGGTCTACTGATGGTGGTGGGTGGATCTATTTTTCCAGGGGTTGTATTTTGTGGTTGTGGGATCTATCGTTGCTGGATGCAGTCTATTGTGGGGGGACCTATTGTCGCTGGCTAAAGAGGATCTATTTTACTACTTTTCTTGTTATTAACAAATTCCATACAAATTACTTGGCATCACAAAATTATACTTGGTTCTGTATGTTCTGAAAGGGTATGGTACTGGGAGGTGGGTAGGTGGTGGAACCAAAGGAAGGTGCTCAAGGGTGGGTTGGGGGTGGAACCAAGGAACAGTGCTTGGCAGTGGGTAAGGGGGTGATTCAGAAAGGGAGGTTCGTTCACTTATTCTCTGAGGAAAAAAAAGCCCTGCTCCTATATAAGCCATGCATTTGCACTTCCTGTTTGCCAGATTGCTGGGCTCTCTGCAGCTGAAATCTTGCTCCTTTGCGTACCTGCAACTGCCTTTATTGCCACTAGTACTCATTCCTGACCTTGGCTTGTAACTCGACTATGCTTCCACTTGATCTCAACCTGCGACCATAAGTCAATGACCTTTCACTCGATCCCAACCTGCGACCATAAGTCAATGACCTTTCACTCGATCCCAACCTGGAACCACTTGTTAAAAACCTCTGTCTTGTTTACTGACTATGCTCTTCTGCTTCATCTCTACCTGCTACATCTGTTACTGAACCATGGCTTGCTCATCTCTTGGTGGTAAAATCCTGCAGACCGCAATCTAGTATTAACATGCAGCGAAACCCATCTCCACCATCAGGAACTCTGGTGAATACCAATTAGACCCCCCACATCAGGTGAACCCCCATCGTCTACCAGGTTGACCTGCTTTTGTACTTTTCCAGTTGGTCAGTGGGAGCCTCTCTACTGCTATAGCTACTGGTCTGCAGCCTGTCCCCTGACCGTACCAAGGAGCCTGACATTGCACCCACGATCAACTGATTGCAGGTGAAATGCTTTGCACACCCCTCTAGGAAAAAATAATAAATGCACTTTTTTTTCCAGCACAATTGTGCATGTATGACTTTTTTCTTAACAGGTAAACATCCTTTAAGAATGGAAAAATGGCCACAGCATACATCTATCTACAGTCAGGTCCATAAATATTGGGACATCGACACAATTCTAACATTTTTGGCTCTATACACCACCACAATGGATTTGAAATGAAACAAACAAGATGTGCTTTAACTGCAGATTGTCAGCTTTAATTTGAGGGTATTTACATCCAAATCAGGTGAACAGTGTAGGAATTACAACAGTTTGCATATGTGCCTCCCACTTGTTAAGGGACCAAAAGTAATGGGACAGAATAATAATCATAAACCAAACTTTCACTTTAATACTTGGTTGCAAATCCTTTGCAGTCAATTACAGCCTGAAGTCTGGAACGCATAGACATCACCAGACGCTGGGTTTCATCCCTGGTGATGCTCTGCCAGGCCTCTACTGCAACTGTCTTCAGTTCCTGCTTGTTCTTGGGGCATTTTCCCTTCAGTTTTGTCTTCAGCAAGTGAAATGCATGCTCAATCGGATTCAGGTCAGGTGATTGACTTGGCCATTGCATAACATTCCACTTCTCTCTGGTTGCTTTTGCAGAATGCTTTGGGTCATTGTCCATCTGCACTGTGAAGCGGCGTCCAATGAGTTGTGAAGCATTTGGCTGAATATGAGCAGATAATATTGCCCGAAACACTTCAGAATTCATTCTGCTGCTTTTGTCAGCAGTCACATCATCAATAAATACAAGAGAACCAGTTCCACTGGCAGCCATACATGCCCACGCCATGACACTACCACCACCATGCTTCACTGATGAGGTGGTATGCTTAGGATCATGAGCAGTTCCTTTCCTTCTCCATACTCTTCTCTTCCCATCACTCTGGTACAAGTTGATCTTGGTCTCATCTGTCCATAGGATGTTGTTCCAGAACTGTGAAGGCTTTTTTAGATGTCGTTTGGCAAACTCTAATCTGGCCTTC